ATATTTAGATAATTACTCTTTTAATTTTTAGTTTACATTTATTTTTCCAATGCCTATCAAGACTGAAAGTTTTCATAAATAGGGAAAAAGAGTTGTTTTCATTACCTTTCTGCATACTTTGACCTTCAAAGTTGTTAGGAGATTAAATTAAAATGGTTTTATTTCAGGACTTCAGTGGGTGTATATCATTCCTGTGGATTCTACCTCTAATGATTTAAATCAAACCTCTTCATGTTCTCTCATGCTACATGACTCTTGTCTATGTGCTTTCATAAATCCTAAATAGAGGTCTACTGAGCATAATGGAGGATCTCTTTTAGATCATTTAATTATGCTTATAGTAGGGCAGCACTCATTACTCATATGCTTATGTTATCCCTTACTCTGGTTATGCAGTTTCTCGGTTGTTCATCTCCTCCAGGATATCTTTTTTCAGTACACTTATTGTATACAAGTCAATATTTGTAACATGCTACAGTCTATATAAGTTTACCATGTACCTCTCTATTATCCTTTGGGCCCTCCACAATTTTCGTGTGTCAGAGACCTATGGTGTAAAATGATTCAAAGCCATAACGAATATTCCGAAGAATATTGATGTTAAAATGATAGGTTTTCTTGGGGGCAGGTAGGTGGTGTAGTGGATAGAGCCCAGGCCCTGGAGTCAGGAGGACCCGAGTTCAAATGCGACCTCAGGCACATAACACCAGCTGTGTGACCCTGGGCAAGTCACTTAACCCCATTGCCTAGCAAAACAGAACAAAAAAGATAGGTTTTTTTTTTGTTTAAGGGAACAACTTGAGAGTCATTGAAACATTGTACAATTTCCCTAAAGTGATCTCATTCTTATCCTATTAAATTCTGGTTGGGCCTAGCTTAATGCTCATTGTCAGTGTTGGTCCAAGATATACTTGCAGCTGTCCATCTCACTGTATACTGTAGGCTCGACAGCAGGCAGTCTCCATACACTTATCCATATATATATATATATATGTTTTGTGAGGCAATAGGGGCTAAGTGACTTGTCCAGGGTCACACAGCTAGTGTCAAGCATCTGATGCTAGATTTGAACTCAGGTCCTCCTGACTCCAAGGCTGGAGCTCTGTCCACTGCACCACCTAGCTGCCCCTCCTATATGGATTTGACATAGGTTCAAACTCTTTTGATTTCCTGTGGATCTCACTTATTAAACTTCACAGTGTTCTAAGGCTTAGTGCAATTAACACAATGACATCCATAAACAAGAATATCTGGAATATTTTACTACGTGTAGGGAATTTTTCCATTTAAGTCTCTACCCTAAATGTCATTTATACTTGTGCCTGTCAAGGCATGTTGCGAGATCTTATATAGTGTCCATGAGAGGCATCTTATTGGATTACATGTATTTTCCCATGTTTCAAAGAATAGAATTGCTAACGTAAGTGGGAAGAGAAGAAAGATATCTCTTGTTCTATTCAATTAAATGGCTTTAAAATAATAATAACCGCACTAAGATCTTATATTTTCTCTGTTTTTCAATTGTGTGAAAATAAGCCTATAGTTTGGCCATTTGCAAAAGCCTGCCTCTTTATATTTTCTTTGAAGATATAGTTGGTGTATAAATAGATTATTAGAATAAAATTTTTTATCACTATAAGGTAATAGGTATATGTGTGACTACTTATTGATATTATCACCCTTTTTTGTACTAATAACATATATATATATATACATATATTTTTTTTTCCAATCTCTTTATCTTCCTCAGTTTCATGTTTGAGAGTCTTTCCTACAGTGACCTCAAAGTTATGCTGCATTCAGCACGGGTTAACTCTATTTGTCTAGTTTAGGTCCTTTTTTTAAGGGACCATTTCCACTTTCCTATCATATATGGCCTGAGAAAGAACAAATATAGTAGTACTCTGTCACAGATGAAGAAAAGAGTTTATTGCAGAAATGTTGATTTAATCTACTTACAATTTTTCTAGGTGAACCTTCAAATGTATAGCTTATGATGCTCTAGCTTAACTTAATCCCATACTAAGCTTTCTACAATTTCATTCTTCCTTCGACTTGTTCGTGAGGAAATATCCTAATCACTTTATGCCATTCTTCTCTGTGAGGTTTTAACATTTTTCATTCCTGGTTACTGTATTTTTCTGCCTGGGAAAGGGAACCGTTGTGGCATTTTTTGGGCTCTCTTGGCCTCCTCATTGTGGTAACTTGATTTATATTAGTTTAACTTCCATAAGAAGCGGCGGTAATCCATGTTTCCACATTTTCCTTGAACCATTTCCCATTTTGTTCACTACCAGTTGCTTGTTTGAATAGATCTGGTTGGAAAGGTTATAATTTATGCTGTATTTTAAAGTAAACTTATTATTTTAAAATAATTTTTTAAAAAAATTATGAAAAATTTGATTTCAATTTTAACTTAAAATGTAAAACACTGGCTCTTGTCAGAGGTCTTAGGTTCAAATCTTGCCTCTACTTAATTGGGGAGTAGGGGGTAAGGAAGAATTAACAAAGCTGATGCACTCCCAAAAAAGGACCATTGAAATAGTCTTTAAGGATGCATAGAAGGGAGTTGTTATATGCTGCTTTTTTTTGAAGCAAGGTATAAAATGGAGACTCCTTGTTCAATCCTATTGCGTTTTTTTGTGTACATATGAATTCTATCTGTTTCTCTGTATATCTTTACTTGTCTTTATCTCTATAACTGTCTCTGATGTTGTCTCTATCTCTTGTGTTTAGTTTCAGAATAAAAAAAAATAAACTTTTTGGCAAGGCAATCTGGGTTAAGTGACTTGCCCAGGGTCACACAGCTAGTAAGCGTCAAGTGCCAGATTTGAACTCAGGTCCTCTTGACTCGAAGGCTGGTGCTTTATCCACTGTGCCACCTAACTGTCCCTCACTTTTCTTTTAAAGAAAGAAATGGAAGGTGGTGGAAGTTAGGAACCTTAAGGGCTTAAAGGCATCTCTATTCCTAGGCCTCATCTGATGGGTGTAGGCGGGTCAGCAGGGTAGAAACTGTGGGGTTCCCTCTGAAGCCCTCCAGTATGTGGCACCACCAAAACTTTTAGCCAATGTTACCATGAAGTAAACACAGAAACATAAAATTAAAAACCAAAAATTAAATCCTCGTCTTGGAGTTCCATTAGGGAGGGAGGAGTGCCAGGGAAAAGTAAGTAGTGAATTTTAGCATCCTATTCCTCCCTTCTGTCAGCATATTAACAAGACCAGAACAGCTGTAGTCCAAGGCCTTCTGCCTATTGCACAGTATTTCAGCAGACACCTCAGAATCTCTTACCAATAAAGTTTCCTTGATTTATTCATATTTGAAGGCCATAATATACATCTTAACTTACCCTACTCCCCCAAATGCAAGAATTTGACTTTAAAAAAGTCAATGTGTTTTACATTTTATGTAGTGGCTATGGTCCAGATGAAATAATCTGCTAAAGTCATTTAGGAGTTGAAGACTTAAAGTACTGTTCCTCATTGTTTCTTTTACAACTGACTTCTAAGACCAAAGAAAGAGGGGGGAAAAATGGCAAACATTGATATTTTTGGAATACACAAACCTTAACTCATACCCTAGTTGTTCAGTATCAAATTTTGTTTTTCCCTTGCCTATATATTGGTCAGTTCATTTCATCCTTCATCTGGAAAGCCTCCTTGGAAATGAACCTCAGGGATTAGTAAGGCTGTGTTGTCTTTAGATGACTGGAATTTATTTTTGACTTGGTACTGTCAGTATTGGAATTGAAGTGTGTGTGTGTGTGTGTGTGTGTGTGTGTGAAATATACATAGATTTGCATATTAAAACATACAATATAATATATAATATAAATATAATTTCCATACTTCAATTCCTGTAGTGTCTTTGTGTGTGTATTTATCTATATATAGATCTATATGTATCAATACCTACACATTTACATTTCAATTTCAGATGATTTCACTGCCATAAATAGATAGACTGCATATGAAGCACATTTATAGCTCCTAACACCACACATAGCCATTAATGAATCTCTAATCTATCTGAATATAATATCTATTTAAGAATACACTTTTGTAATTGTAGCAGTTAGATGCCATAGAATTAGAAGATAATTTTCCTCTTATCTTCAGGGCAACATGGCACAGTGAATAGAGTTGGCTTTCCATTCTTGTCTCTGCAACATTCTAGCTGTATGACCCTGGGCAAGTCACTTTGCCCTGAGAGCTCTTGGCAATTCTCTAAGAGTCAGGAACTCTTAATTGACGTATTGACCAACCTTGGTCCCATGATGATGAAATATGCTACCCGCATCCTGATAGAGAGGTAAAGAACTGAATGCAGAATGAGATCTACATGGTTTTTTGGACTTGACCAATGCAGAAATTTGTTTTGCTTGACTATACATGTTTGTATTAGAGGGTTTGTTTTTATTTCATTATAAATTGGGGAGGGAGGGAAGGAGAGAAGACAGATTTTTGCTTTGAAAAAAAAAAGATAATTTAAAAAAGAATATTGCAGGAGTAAATTTTGCCTTTCATTGATTTGTTCATTGAAGAAGTTTTCCTTTTCTAGGAGTTCCCTTGGAAGATACTAGGTCATGTTTAGTGTGAATAATGAAACCCCCTGGGCATGGTAGTATGTATAAGAATTTGCACTATACAAAGTTAAAATTATTATTATTATTATTATTTTTAATTTTGGCTAGTCAATGGGGTTAGGTGACTTGCCCAGAGTCACACAGCTTGTAAGTGTTATGTGTCTGAGGCCGGATTTGAACCTGAATCCAGGGTCGGTGCTCTATCCACTGCCCCACCTAGCTGCCCCCAAAGTTAAAAATTATATGTAAAGAATTGTAATTAGTTCCAGCGCAAAGGAAATACACTGTAAATTCCAATAGTTCAACCACTTCAGGAGATTCTTGTTCCCAGTAATTAAGAGCTAGATGTAAAATCAAAGATCTGGTCCTAAGTACCAATTTACTCTAACTTGACATTTCCCCCTCTAACTCTAGATATGTGGCTGCGTCATCCTGGGAGTATCAATATATGCACGTGTCAGCAAACATGGTGAAGAGGTAAGTTAAAGATCAGCCCCCACCCCACAACTATTCCATTCTTGTTTGTAGAAATGACTGAGAGCAAAATTCTATTCTGAATATGAACAAATAAGTGAGATCCCCTTCAGGAATCCTTTATTAAGTATGTTCTACATTCAGGTACTGCATAGGCACTGGAATTTTTATTTGGTGAGTGTCCATCTGGAAGTGGGGAAGGAGAGGGAGAATTTGCAAGAAGCTTGGGAAAAGAGCCCAGAGTTGGTCACTCAATGGGGTCTGGATGGTCTGGATCAAGGGAGCAAGGAGGGAAAAGGAAAAAGAAAAAAAAAGGAAGAGATCTCTCTCTGCCTTCAAGATCCAGCTCAAATGACATCTCCATGATATCATTACAGATTATTACTTTCCCCAGCCCCAATTATTTCAAGTTTACTTTCTATTAATTTACCTATCTCCATTGTACTTAACCTCCCCACTCCCAGTGAAATGTAAGCTTTTTGAGGACAAATGTCTTCATTTTTGTCTTATGTCTCAGTTGCCTATCATAGTTACATTTATATGTAAAGCTAGGTGGTGTAGTGAACAAAGTGTTGGACCTGAAGAGAGGAAGATCTGAAGTTAAATGTGGCCTTCAGTCACTTGCCAGCAGGGTGACCCATACCATGTCACTTAAACCTCTCAGTTTCAGTTTCCTCATCTGTAAAATGGAGCTAATAATAGTACCTACCCTCCAAGGGTTGTTTTAAGATGAAATGAGATATTTGTAAAGCACTCTGCAAACTTGAGAGGTCTATATAAATGCTAGCTACTAATAAACAGTAGTTGAATGTTAAAAATATGCCTATGACATGTGGCACTAATAATACAGACCCGAGGAACAGATTGGCCATGGAATGGTCCATTTTGGTGACTATAATTCCCATAGACAACCTGAAGTAGAATGTACGTCCTTTGAGGGCAGGGATTTTTTCATTTATATTTGTATCTGTAACACCTAGCACAGTGGCAGGTGTTTAGTGCATAGTTATTGGATTAGACTGGGTTGAATTAGAAATGACATAAAATAACCTTCTTCAATAAAACTGTGAAAATATAAGCAAATGATGACTCTAAGTCCTTTTGCTGGGGAAGATACCAATAGGGGATAGAGAGGATATTATCTGTTATCCATCTGTTCCTCTTTTGTACTCCATCTTGGCCCTGAGAATCATTTATTTCTCAGATTCAGGCCCATCAGTGCCAAGTTATAGAGGCAGAACCATAATGTTGTTTTGTTTTAAATAAATACATGAGATTACAGGAGATGGTTGAATATTGATGGTTCTATTTCCATGTTTTTGTCCTAGTCAACCAACACTAGTTTCCTGATGGTCTTATGTGCTGTGTGTGAGCTTAGGGAAGGGTGCTTGGACATTATAGAGTAAAGAAAATATTTGAAGGCTAACTTAAAATGAATAACTGCCCTAGCGATGATAGATTTCCTCGAGATAACAGTGGGGGGGGGAACTGTTATAGGTTATGGGAGATGAATGTGGACTGCTTTTTCATGGGAAGTATTAATGATATGAAAACATTATTTACTTCTTCCTCCCCCACCAATTCTTAAGATTCCCCCCCCCACTATTTCTTGTTAATGATCAAATTTTCTGTTTCATCTGTTAATGCATCGAACCTACTTAATGTATTACATAAGGATTTCTGTCCTTGTGAGACTCTGACTAGCTTGGCAGGTGCTTTTGCATTTATCACCTGCCTCTCCTCCACCCCAGGCCTCAAGGTTCTTATCTAAAAAATGTCGGGTTTTCCTAGATAATTTCTAATGTCCCTTCCATTGTGGAATGCCAAAACAGATTTTTGTCAAGAATCTAGATTAGATTAGAATTAGATAATTCTCATGTGATGTTCATAACCACTACTGAGCTAAAGCTGAATCTCCAGGAACAGGCGAGCAAGTCCACACTAAGACACTTGCTGCTGAACAGATTTTGGTGGAGGAAATAATAGTTTTATTTGAACTCAATAACAACAAAAAACCTGTTTTTGAAAAAAAGTCATATTTTAAAGTGGTAGGGATTTAGGAAAGATAGACTGATATAAAATTATGAATCATAGGAAAGAAGAAAATTGGAGGTGGAGAATTTCTCTTTTCTAGAATGTAAATTTTATGGTCCCTCCATGCCTGGAATGTTCTCCCTTCTTATCTGTACTTCCTGGCTTCCCTGGATTCCTTCAAGTTCCAGCTAAAATCCCACCTTTTACAAGGAAGCCTTTACTAATCCTTCATTCCAGTGCCTAGCCTTTGTTAATTATTTCCAATTTATCTTGTATGTAGCTTATTTGTACATGGTTGTTTGCATGTTGTCTGTCTATTTATTTATTTATTTAGGTAAGCCCAGTACTTAGCACACTACATGGTACATAGTACTGACTTAATAAATGTTTATTGACTGGTACTATTCCAAGAGACTCTTGTTTTCCTTCAGGACCAACCTCCATAATCACCAAGCAGCTCACTTTCATTTTGATAGAGCTTCTTTAATATCAGGACGTCTTGAACAGGTAGTCATTGACCACCTTTTAACTCAGACTCACTCATCTCTGTTTAGACATTTTTTCACTGCTCTTAGACCCATGCTTTTATATAAGAGCATAAACAGGGTTTAGTCAAAAGACAACTTAAAATACTCCTGTTCTTTGGGAGCAAACCTCTTCTTTCTTTTCCACTTTTATTTGTATTCATTCTTCCCATTCTACTAACTCTTGGGACAGTCAATGCCTTTTTTAAAAAAACTTTTTCTCACCATCTAAATTTCTCTGTGGGGTCAGGTGACCTTCCAGCTCCATAGAAAGCTACAGCTAGTACTTAACCAACAATAACTTTATTGTCAGGTGAAAGTTAAACCCATGATTTGTAAGTAAGTTATGTTCCTTAATTAGACCAATTCTCATTCATTGCCCTCCTCTAACACTCAGGATCATCTGAAGAGGGAAACCCCCTAATTAGATATAGTACTCTAATGATGTAATGACCAGTCATGAGCATCACATTCTAGATTCTTGATAAAAATCTGTTTTGGCATCCCACAATGGAAGGGGGACATTAGAGATTATCTAGGAAAACCCAACATTTTTTAGGTAAGAACCTTGAAGCCTGGGGTAGAGGAGAGGCAGGTGATAAATGGGAAAGCACATATCAAGATAACAGCCTAGGCAGGTTGAGAATTTAACTTATGGTCCATTATTCCCTTCTCCCACGCCCCCACCACATTTCCTCTCTGGCTGTGGAATAAGGAAAGACTAAAAGAAATTCAAAATTCTCTCACACACACAATGATATAAAGTGCCATCATCAGTAGCGACAACCACAGTAGGAAACAACAAAAGCAATTTTTAAATATATTAAGGCCACGTGAAATCATGTGTGGCATAGCAGACAAAGAACTGTCCTCAGAGCCAGGAAGACCTGGGTTCAAAGCCTGCTTCTGACACATATTGAGTGGGTGATCCTGGGTAAGTTACTTATCAGTGACCCAGGAAACTCTTTAAAACTAGAACAGGGTGAATCTTCATTGGTGGAAGAATTCTTCACTGGAAATTCACTCTTATGAAACACCAATGAAACCATAAACATGATTTAATTTTTTTTAAAAGGTCAAATAAAGCACTGATGGAAGACATAAAGGACAACAGATTCTCAAGGTGTAGAGAAGGGGAATTTGATGGTATTTTGAAAAGAATTTCTATTTATGTACAAAAATGTCTTGAAGGAAAGTACACCATGAATCCTGTCTAGAATGCAAAATGGTGGTAGAGTAAGGAGAGCACTAACCTAGAAGTTAGCACACCTGGGTGCTAATTCGACTTCTGTCAGTTGCAAGCTTAGACAAGTCACCTCATAAGCCTCAGTTTCCTCATTTCAAGTTAAAATCCCATAAGCATTTACTAACTACTTACTATAAGCAAAAGTGCTATGCTGTATACTGGGATGACAGTGACAAAGAGTGAAATGATCTCTACTTTCATCTACAAAATGAGGTGATTAGGATAGACGGTTTTCTCTTGGGATCACTTGAGTTTTTCCCAGACCTTGGGCCCAAAGGTGGTTGAATAGGTCTCATGACTTAGTGAGTCAAAGTGGATGTCATGGACACCTGGAACATTAAGTATTATTTTATTATTTAATTAGGGTATTATTCTTTGGCTGATTGGCTTAAAGAACTAAATGTCTGCTGTGTGCCGTTAAAATTTCATGTAAGTCAGAGCCAAGAAAGGGGTGTAGCTCTTTAGAACTGACTGACTTCTCATTTTCTTTTTTTTAGGACTAATTAATTAATTAATTTTTGGGGGTGAGGCCATCGGGTTAAGTGACTTGCCCAGGGTCACATAGCTAGTAACTGTTATGCGTCTGAGGCTGGATTTGAACTCAGGTCCTCCTGACTCCAAAGCCAGAGCTCTATTCACTGTGCCACCTAGCTGCCTCCTGACTTCTCATTTTCATGAGAAGTTGCTGTTATTACCAAATTAAGCTTTTCCCAATGAATGGTGGGAACAGGAAGAGCAACTACCAACCGAAATCCTTTTTAAAGTTTTTGTCTCTTTGCTATTTTTATCCAGCAAGGTAGCTGGCATTTATATAGCGCTTTAAGATCTTCAAAGTACTTTTACAAATGTTATATACTTTCATCCTCACAACAACCCTGGGAGGTAGGTGCGCTATTAATTATGTTCATTTCATAGAGGCAGAAACTGAGGCTTTAAGTTTAAGTAACTCACTCAGGGTCACACAGATAGTAAAAGGCTGAGACTGTATTTGCACTTGGGTCTTCCTAACTCCAGGCCTGGCATTCTATCCACTGCACCACTGAGGTATCTCTGTAAAAGATTTTTTTAAATTTTGCTAACCAATTCATGGATTCAGTGTCACCAAATCTTGACCTTATGCTCAAGTTGAGTGTATAACTGGCCTAATATACGACTGTAAGTCACAGGTCATATGAATCAAAAATTACATTAGCTATAGTGAAATTGTTCTCAAAGCTTTCCTAGCCAATGCATCTTTCCTATTCAACTCTAGTAAAGATGATGATGACCATAGTTAGCGTTTACCTATAATGCCTTAAGGTTTGCAAAGTGCTTTGCAAATTTCTCATTTTTGTTCTCACAGTAACCCTGTGAGGGAGTTGCTCTTATTTTCTTTTTTACAGATAAGGAAAGTGAGGCATACAGAGATTCAGTGATTTGCCCTGAGTTCCACATCTAGTAATAGTCTAAGGTCAGATAGGAATTCAGTTCTTCCTGATACCTTGGGTCCAACTCCATACACTGTACCACTTAGATGCCTAAAAGTGTTTGTGGGGGTTGGGGAGCATGCTTGGCAAATTATTAATCATCTTGTGACTAACTTGTGTTTTGTCTCCAGCTCATCAATGAAGAAACATCTGGAGTGGACATATTTGCAGCTGTTAATCTCTTGATAGCTGTAGGCACCATTATCATGGTACTTGGTTTCCTGGGATGCTGTGGTGCTATGAAAGAAAGTCGTTGCATGCTACTCTTGGTAGGTATCCAGGCCCCAGTTTCTGTGCTGAATGTTGGGAAGTTTGATGGTGCTTATCTTTCCTTCCAATCGTGCCAAGGAATCTTGCCAAGATTTATGCAATCCTTATGTTTGTATTTAAGGACAGAATGTGGAAGTTGAGATATCTGAGATCTTTCATGTGGAAAGACTATTGGAACAGAGACCTGTGAAAACTGTCTTTGGTTCCACTTCCCAGGTCTTGCTGGGTGGTGTAGAGGAAAGAGTGCTGGACCTTGGATCAGGAAGATCTGAGTTCAAATCTAGCCTCAGACACTTACTAGTTGTGTTACCCTGGGCAAATCACTTAACCTTAGTTTCTGCAACTATAAAATGGAGATAGCAATAGCCTCCCTACCTCTTAAGGTGGTCGTAAGGATCAAATGAGGAAATAATTGTAAAAGTGCTTAGAGTAAATTCTGGCCTACAGTAGGTGCTATGTAAATACTCATTACATTTTTCAATAGTATTTCACCATTTGTACCGGCAACTGCTTTCAACTTATGTTGTTTAAAAAAAGGTCTTGAGTTTAGAATATTGTGGCAAGCTTAATAAGATGTGATTTAGGAGAGATAAAGGTAAAGTCATTTGTAGGAGATCAGGGGATTGTGGATTTAGAACTAAAAGGGAACCCGGGTCAGTTAGTTCCCTTTTTATGGATGACAAAACCCAAGGTCCTGAGTCTCAGGTGTGATAAATGTCCGAGCTGGGATTTGATTCCAGGTTCTCTGATCCCATTCGTGGTTCACTTCTTGCTATATTTGTTGGGTGACTCTTTGTGATCCCATTTGGGGTTTTATTGGGAAAGATACTGGTGTGGTTGGCAGTTTCCTCCACCTTATTTTAGAGATGAGGAAACTGAAGCAAATAGGGTTAAATGATTTGCCCAGTCACACAGTAAGTGTCTAAGGCCAGCTTTGAACTCAAGAAGAGTCTTCCTGACTCCAGGCCCAGCACAGTTCCACCTAGCTGCCTCACATTAATTTAGCAATATCTTAATTCATTTTCCACCAAAAGATAGTCTTATAAGAGTTACTTCTCATTGTTCCAGGACTTAAGTTAAACTCATCAGACTCCAGGCTTTGTTGCTTTTTTTGGTGGAACAAAGCCTGTTCGTGGGGAAGGGCCTTTGCAGCTTTCTTTTTCCTGCCCTTTTAAGCCCTAGGAAAAAGTACCTTTTAAAATTTTATTTCAACCATTTTCCTTATCAAATTTTTATGCAAATGTGACTCAGGGTTGCATCATTCTCATGAACTATGTAGATGTTGGGGAAAGTTGGGATGTGAGGGGAGGAGGAAGCATATCTGTAAATTTCAATCTATGAATTTAATTTTTGCAATTAATCCTGAGACTTTGACCTACGGTTTCAACCTTCACTTTTGTTGATCCATTTCTAGAACTAGTAGGGAAACCTAATGATACATTTTGGTTTCATACAATCAAACAACAGACATTTATTAAGCCTTTACTATGGCCAGTTACTATGCTGCTTCAATGCCTTCTTCTGTCAGTATTACTGAGCAGTGAAATAGGAAAAAAAAACCACACCACATTTTTAGGGGAGGTAGAAGGAAGTGAAAAGTGACAGGTTTAGTAATATACCATTTGTTGAGCAATAGTCTCCTGAGTTGACCAGCACCTGACATCATCGTCGGTTAGAGTGATCTTGGATTGTTATTGGATAAAATGGGACTATTGCTTGATATCTCTCTTTCCTCTCCAGTTCTTCATCTCATTACTTCTGATTGCGATTCTTCAGATTGTCGCAGGTATATTAGGTATTGTCTACAAATCCAAGGTGAGTATATGGAAAACGGATGATGTTATGCTAGGCAAAACCTGTGGTGTTAACACTGTTATGGCTCACTTTTTATATTTTATTTTATTGTCCAGATTGAAGAATCATTTAAAAAGAATTTCCAGGAACAGGTAGAAATTTTGGACCAAGATGGTACTGAATACGAAACATTTAAAAATGACTTGGACGCATTTCAAAAGAAGGTAATTGGAAAGCTTTACTGGAAATCCTAGAGTGAGGCATGGATTCTTCTCAGCTTTACAATTTCCACCTTGTGTGTTGTTTCTAGAGGAGGATCAGAATGTTTGTTTCACAGCTTGTGGGATGGTCTATGATTAGACTGAGCTTGAGTGTAGGGACTATCTTTTGCTTATCTTTGGATCCTTAGTATTTAGCATAGTGCCTGGGAACTTAAAAAAATGTTAATTCACTGACCTATGGAAGAAAAAGATGAGCAATTATAATCCATGATTTCTTTAGATGGGAGGGGGCTATTTAATTTTTGTCTCTACATCCTATGTACAGCACCTTGTACATGGTAGGATATTAAAATTTTTATGGAATTGAATTGAAAATGATGAATACAGGCGTTCTTAACCTAAGACCCATAGTAGGGGTCCATGGATAGATTTCTGTGGGCAAACTTCAGATGGGAAAAAACATACACATTTTTCACTAACCTCTAACTGAAATTTAACATTTCATTCAATAATTTTAAGAATGTTATTCAGGGGAGAAGCTAGGTGGTAAAAAGTATTCAGTACTGGCTCTGGAGTCAGGAGGATCTGAGTTCACATCTGGCCTCAGGTACTTACTAGCTGTGTGTCCTTGGTCAGAGTCACTCAGTCCTGATTGCCTCCCTCAGCCCTCAAAAAAAGAATGGAAAAAGAATGTTATTCTGAGACTTTATCAGGCTTTATGGCCAAAAGTTAAGAACCTCTGTTTCAGAAGAAGGTAACTGTAAAAAATATACTTTCTTTTTTCATTTAAACTTTAATTGGACCAGCTATGTGTTATAAAATTTATTGTGTTTTTAAATTTTTTTTAGCTTTGGTCAGGACCTGTGACTTTTTTTCTCTTTTTGCTTTTTGGTGAGGCAATCAGGGTTAAGTGACTTGCCCAGGGTCACACAGCTAGTAAATGTCAAGTGTCTGAGGCCAGATTCAAACTCAGGTCCTCCTGGCTCAAAGGCCAGAGCTCTATCCACTATGACACCTAGCTGCCCCTGGACCTGTGATTTTTATCAGGGTGGAGAGGTTCCTTGTGAGCATATTTTGATGCTTCTAGGTGGGGCTGTAGTATGCAGGGTGCTGAGCCTTGAGTCAGGAAGACCTGAGTTCAAATCTAGTCTCAGATACTAGCACTTACCTTCCAGGGTTCTTGTGTGAGGATCAAATGAAATGATATTTGTAAAAAGAAAAAAAAAAGCAGTTTAGCACAGTGTCTCATGCATAGTAGGTACTTTATAGATGTTTATTTCCTTCCTTTTTTCCCCACCTCCCAATATAGGTCAACAGCTATTTGGCTATCCATAATCTTAGAGAGTTGTCTGAGGACAGTAAAAGGTTGTGGCTTGCCAAGAGTCACATGTCTCAGAGGAAGGACTTTTGAATCCTGGTCATTCTGATTTTGAGGCCAGTCTCTGTCTATTATACAAGGCTGCCTCTCAAAAGTTTTATTAATACATAATGTTTAAAACTGTAATGCTTATTTATTTCAATACTTTTTATTGTAAGCTTAATTAATGTCATGAAGATGGTTGGGAGTTGGGACTTGTGACTTCATCGCGGTGGGGAACCCTTAGTATGGAAGGTTCCTGTAGTTGAGTTCCATGAGGTCTAAGTGACCTAATTCCTAGTAAGCAAGAGCTGGTAAAGTACAGTATAGAGAAGGTAAGAGCTGGCAAATCAAGTGGGTCTAATACTGGAAAAGCATCCAGAGCCCAAAGGCTCTGGAACAAAGCTAGTATGCTCAGGCTTAAATCGGGAGCTTCAGGGTGCCTTGTGAAGACTCAGGCTGGATCCAGGCTAATTGCAAAGGTGCCAGAAGCTAAGACAAAGTCTGAGGTGGAAGGATGATTGTCCTTAATGAATACTTAAACAACCCACCCCTATGATGTAAAGAGTATGAATATCATTTTGTCCATTTTATATATGAGGAAACTGAGATTCAAAGGTTTCTTTGGAGTGACACTGTTAGTAAGGGCCAGGTCAGGATCTGAACCAGGTCTTCTAAAATCAAATGCAATATATCAAATCAATAACCAAAATATCAGATCCAATGAATGGGCATGCCAGTATCAACTTGGCATATCAACAACTTCATGATAGAAAAAACAGTGAACTGGGACTTAGAAGACATGATTTCTGTACCTATCTATGGCCCTCTCTGACTGTGTGAACAAGGTCACATTCCTTTTCATATCTCTAAGTCAAATGTCTAAAATGAGGGTATTTGCCTAGATAATCTAAAAAGTCTCTTTAAAATTCTGGGACACACTGAACACTCAAAAGACAGTTATTAAGAACCTACTATACATCAGGGACTGCGCTAGGTACTGGGTACACAAAGACCAAAATGAAATGGTTCCTGCTCTCAGGGAGTTTATATTTTATTGGAGAAAACAATGCACATGTTTAAATATATACAAAATATGTATCAAACAAAGGTTTTTTTTGGTTGTCATTGCTGTTGGGTGTCTGCAGTTTGATACTAGCAGCTGGTGGGATTAGGCAAGGTTTTGTATGGAAGATGAGTGACTCTTTAGTTGAGCTTTGAAGTAGGCTGAGATTTCTATGGTGAAGGGGTGATTTAAAGACATGGAGATAGAAATTATAGAACAGGCAAACGAGTCCTATTTTGTATGTAAATGTTGAATGGACAATGAGTGAAAGAACTGGGATGGAGTGGAGGTACTTATGAGCAACTTCGTATAAGAAAGACACTACTGGTGATGGAGGTAAATTTTCATCTCTCTGTCTTTTTACCTCACAGTTTAAATGCTGTGGCTTAATCAATGGAGCTGCTGACTGGGGAAAGAACTTCGACAAATATTCTGCATCATGTGAATGTACAAACATTACTAATACAAATGATGTTTGTGTATCGTATATGGGAAAACAAGTTTACAAAGAGGTAAGAGCCAAATGAATTTGGCATGGTGAGTAAGTAGATCTTTTGTTCTCTTTATGTGAAAACATTTGTTACAAAGAAAATTTTAAACACTTCAAACAATAGTGCAAACATTTAGAATTTTCTACATTAAAGAATCTTTTTGGAAAGATCAAGAACATTAAGGCAGACATAAAATTAACAGTAAGTGAATGTAGCCACTTTTCCCCATGAGGTTGGCTTCATTTCTAGACGACTCTGAGCAATACTAGAGATGTGTTCTATAGTAGGAAGGAGGAGAAAAAATTTAAAATGATCTAAGAGGAAAGGTCTATTTTCTAAAGTGATCTCTATTACTATTCTCTTGAAGTTTGCTTTTTAAGATTTTGCCACATAATTTAGAAGCAAAGAAACTTATCCTTTGAAAACTTCAGAACTTATTTTAAAGAAATTACTATTGATTTTTTAAAAAATTAATTTATTTTGAATTATCAACAATCACTTCCATAAGCTTTTGAATTTAAAATTTTTCTCCCCCTCCCTCAACACCTGTACCCCCAAGTCAGTGTGCAATCTGATATAGGCTATACATATACATTCCCATTAAACATATTTTCACATTAGTGATATTGTAAGTAAGAATTAGAACCAATAGGAAGAACCATCACACAGAGGAAACAAAACACAACAGAAGAAAAAAAAAGCAAATAGTATTCTTTGATCTGCATTCAAACTCCACAGTTGTTTCTTTGGATGTGGATAGCATTTTCCATCATGAGGCCCTTGGAGATGTCTTAGATTCTTGTATTGCTGAGAAGGGTTAAGTCTATCAATATTAGTCATCGCACAATGTGTCTGTTACTGTGTACAATGTTCTCCTGGTTCTGCTCATTTCACTCAGCATCAGACCATACAAGTCTTTCCAGGTTTTTCTGAAGTCAGCCTATAACTGTTGAGTCTTTTTTTTCTTTTTTTAGGCAATTGGGGTTAAATGACTTGCCCAGGGTCACACAGGTAGTAAGTGTCAGCTGTTTGGTCTGAGGTCGGATTTGAACTCAGGTCCTCCTGACTTCAGGGCCGGTGCTTTATCCACTGTGCCACCTAGCTGCCCCTATAACTGTTGATTCTTACTGAGAAATTGGGAAGGATTTTCATATATATGTAGAATTTTGAGTTTTAGCACATTCATTTGGCATTTTAGAGTCATTGGCCCTAGTTAACTAGAAAACTAGGAAACTTTTGAAATATAGCACTTTCTTGATGGTTGTAACACAAAGGTGTATTGATGGGATCCTTTAAATAGAAAGCATAGATTATACATAATTGATAAACTGACATTAATAAGGTTGTATTCTACAATGACAGAAGGTTACATTTGGCACTAGCATCTTTTAGTACTGGCTATCTTAATGTTTTGGGGTTTTTTTTGGCTAGGCAATGGGGTTAAGTGACTTGCCCAGAGTCACACAGCTAGTAAGTGTTATGTGTCTGAGGCCGGATTTGAACTCAGGTCCTCCTGAATCCAGGGCTGGTGCTCTGTCCACTGCGCCATCTAGCTGCCCCACTGGCTACCTTAATGGAGAATTGAAAAACAACAAGGACAAAAAGAAAAAGACTGAGTGGGAAAAGAAAAAAATACAAAACTATTTCAACCTTTTTATCTGCTCTTATCAAGACATCAGCAGGTCTGTTCTGAAGAACTTAATACTGCTGCTTTTAAGTACAGTAACTCACAGGGGGACACATGACCAGTTTTCTAGTCCCACCACTCATTTTTGTGGGAAAACAACTATGCTATGCAAGTGAATATAGAATTATTTAACAGTTTCTAGCTAGGCTTTTGAGAAAGAAAATATACATATTTTCATAATATTTTTTCTCCTGTTAAAGATTTATTCCTAAGACTTTCCTTCTTTAAGATTTTGAAAACCTCTATAATGATCTACAACCATTAAAAAAAACACCCTCTAAGTTCACACATAATTCAGTTGGATATAGGCTTACTGATATATCACTTTCCCAAAAGGCAGGTCATAAATTCACAAAATATTTCCGTCTGCCTTGTGTCATTTGTGAAAAACCTGGAAAACTACGAATCCTGGAATGACCATAATTCATGTTTGCTTTGTTTTTGTTTTTAGTTTTTTCAAAGATAACTGAACTGTCTGGGAAATAAAAATGTGATTCTTGTTTGACATGTTCATTAGTTTCCTAGTTAACTCTGAATGAATTGTAACACTTTTCTAAATTGTGGATTCCATGTGAGTGGGAAAATAAGTTATGTGAAAGGATGAAGATTATCTAATGCCATCTTGTAGGGGCATTTAAAAAACAAATGGAATGTACTAAGTTAAAAAAAAATCAATTGTTCACACATTTACCATTATTGCCATACTAATATTTGTGTCAGAAATGCCTGTGTTTGCTTTATGGGGATGCCATATTTCACTTGGCTCAAGCCCTCAAATTCAAACCTGAAGAAATCTCTCCATTGGACAGCCCAAAAAGCTGATTCCACTTTCCCCTACTTGCAAGTATTCTGGTCACCTACCATATTAGAATTGTTATTTATTAAAAGAGAAAGACAGAAACATTATGTAATGGAAGAGTTAGGGAGTTTTTCTAAACTCCACAACAAGGTGTGAAGGGGTACAAATGAGGTGTTAGATTTTCCTGATTGGCTGAGCAAATGAATTAGCTACCTTTCTGAAGACTTTGAATAGCTAAGCCAGTCAAGACTTGGAGACATTTTGTAGAGGAGATTTCTTTTAAAGGAGGAAGAAAGACTTTTCTTCTCCCTTCCCCCCACAATTTACCATAGTGTCTAGCAATAACTTGACTAGAACAAGAAACTCCCTTCAGCAGTTTGAGAGTTTCTTGGTTCACAAGAATTCAAGTCAATTCAGGAAGGGGAGACAGTTGTAGATGGACAATGGCAGTCAAAGCAGCTTAGAAGAATGGGTCCCTTGGCAGCAGAGAAGGCCAGTTAGCAACTCAAGGGAGCTATCCCTGGCAATCAAGAGTTGAACTGTGGAAATCGAATCTGGAAACATGATTCACCTGAGGGTGACTGTGAATTTTTTGCATGGAGAAAGGACTTCCAAGCCCTTCAATAACAGTTGTGTTGTTGCCTTTAACACGTGTATATTACATTTGTGATTTTTACCATTGTGTTTGAGCTGATTCTTCTTGTGAATGATCTCTTCATTTGTGAGGGAAAATGCATGCTAGGGTTACAGGAAAAATATCTTGGAAATATTGCTTACACTATGCCATCTTAGAAAATACCTTCCCTAAGAAATGTCTACTATCTGATTGTTAATGGGAAATCCACTGGTGGATGATTATTTTCTAGGATAAGCATCCTTTTCTTTGAACCTCAAGGTAGTAGTAGCTCCCTTCTATGGACTAAACTCTCAAATGTGGAAGTTAGGGAGGTAGCTAGAGGTGATACTAAATTCTGCAATAGATAAGTCCCAGCAATTTCAGATCCCATGGTATTTCTTAACTTCCCAGAAAAAAAAATATTCCCAAGACATGATCTGAATTCTCCTGAACAAAGTGCCCATTCTCCTTTGGAACTCAGCTTTGCCTCTGCAAAAGGAAAGACAACAGTGCTTCCTTATGTTTGTATGGAATTTTTGAAATTTACCTGAATCTGGCAGTCCTTTCTACATTAGGAAGACAGTGTGGCACAACAGAGAGACCATTGGATTCAGAGAGGAAACTTCACCACTTATTAACTATGCAGTCTCTGCTGTGTCAAATCACCTCTGAGTTTAATTTCTTTATTGGCAAAATGGATATATCATGACAAATTGCTATCTCACAGGGTTATAGAGCTATCTTCTTATAGCTAGAAGGCATCTTAGAGGTCATCTAGTCCAATTATGAAGAAATTAAGGCCCACAGAGGTTGTGATTTGTCCAAAGGTGAATAACTAGTAAATGACTGAACCAGGATTTAAACCCAGGTTCTTCGACTCCAAATCCTAGAGGTCTTTCCATTATACCATGTTTCCTTCCTTATGTAGGAAATAAGATGTATCTGTAATTTGTTGCTATTATCCTTACCTTAAATCATTTCCCTATTGTTCCAGGGACCTTCAAGGCATCCCTGTTGACTTTCAATTTGTTCTCACTAGGTGTAAGTGTTCATTAATTACTAGAGCTCTGGATGACCAGTTCTGGATTAGTATCTACCAATCCAAGTGGAGCTGTGTCCTCAACAGTTCCTGATTCAGTCATGCCCTAGATGCCTTCCTATAATTCTCTGAAATCACTATGAGAAATTGGGACATTTTGAGCTCAGGATTTTTTCTTGAGCTTATTTATTAGCCAGACTCCAGTGGGACATTGCATATATTTTGCAAATATTTGAAGTATTGATGCTAATACGTGAGGCTACCTTTTACATTTTGATTAATTCTTGACTTTGTAATGTTCTGCTGGCCTACTAGCTTTAAGATTTACACACATAAAACTCATTTTGATATAGAATGGGCAAAAGGGATAACATTTGAAAATTCTTCTCCTGATCCGTAGTAAAATTGTAATTATGGATGTATCAGAGTTATGCTTAGATATCAATAATCTGGAAAGTTTGTTACTTCATTAGGATATGCTTCCTCTACTGACATAGATCATATAATCAATCAAGATTTATTAAGCACCTACTATGTGTCAAGGAAATAGGAATACAAAGGCAAAAATAAAATAGTCCTTCTCTCCAGAACCTTATGTTCTATCAAAGAAGATAACACCCACATGTATAAGCACTGACAAAGTATAAAGTAAATACACAGTTAAATGCAATGGCATTAGTGAGGAGGGAGGGCACTAGCAATTGAGGAAACCTTGATAGGTATCTTGTAGTGTTTGAGTTGAATCTTAGAGAAAGTGATTCAGTGAGAAGGAGGTGAGAAGGCAGTACATTCCAGGCATAAGGGATAACCACTGCAAAGGCTTGGAAATAGGAGGTGGGGTGCCATACATGAGGAAGAGCAAGAAATTCAGTGTGGCAAGATTGTAGAGTATGGGGAGGGAAGTTGTGAGGAGCTTTAAAACCAGAGGAGTTTATATCTTATCTTAGATGTAATAGGGAACCACTGGTATTTGTTGATTGGGAAGACATAGTCAGAGCTGCACTTAAGAAAAATTACTATGTCAGGGCTTCCAGCTGCCTGAAGAGAGGCAGAGACCATCTAGTCCCCACATTCTCCTTCTAGTAAAAACCCAAGAATTATATTAGATTTAATAATGAGAAACTGCAGAAAATGACTTCTTCAATCCCATACTAGACAATTAGCCAAAGGCTTATGGGAAATAAGAAAGGTAGGTGTTGGCAAAGCCAGTGTCCATCCCACACAAACAAGATATTAACATCTCAGCACACTAGAGCTGGAGAAACTTTTAGCCTATAAGGCTATGTATAAAAAAGGCATGGAAAATGGCTGCACCCAGAAAGATCAAGGGTCATTGGAAACCTATAGTATAGACTCTGGATGTGACCAGAATTGGCAGTGAACAGTCTAAATGCTGCAGCTCTCACATTAAAACACCAATCCCAAAGAACTCTTCGAATTTTTTTTTTGTTTTTCTTTTTTGGTTAGGCAGTTGGGATTAAGTGACTTGCCCAGTGTCACACAGCTAATTAAGTGTCAAGTGTTTGGTCTGAGGCCAGATCTGAACTCAGGTCCTCCTGACTCCAGGGCCAGAGCTCCACCTAGCTGCCCCAGGAAAACATACTTTAAATAACCAGAAAAGAAGGATTTCTGAGTACCAAGGACCCACAGTTAGGGTCATATATGACTTGGTGGCTTCTTCTATAAACCAGTTATAGACTTCCAACCCAGAATACCTTATCATGAGAAACTAAATATAATCCTACAGTGGGAAAAATGACTTTTAATGGAATAGAGAGCTTTTAGATATTCTTGATGAAAAAAAGACCAGAGTTGAGTAGGATCTTTGACATGAAAACATGAGTCAAACAAAATCTGGAAAAGCCAATTTATTTGAGCAATTGAAGGGGCCACAAGATAATATAATAGAAAATTCTACTGGAGGAGAAGAAACAAGTGTATTTTAGAACTTTAATATCTTCAAAGGGTAATGAAGGAGTTAAAAAAAGGATTGGGGGGGGCTGTGGATTGATTTCTGTTCTGAAAGTTTTAAGAGGGAAAGAGCCAAAGGAATATATGCTATAGGAAAAAGGAAGAATAAGGGAATGTGATTTGATATTGCTTACATTTGGAGTAAGTCAGAAGAAGAGTTTACAAACTTGGAAAAAATGAAGGAGTAAGCATCAAACTACTGTTATCTGAAATGGACAAGGAAAGGTGGAACACTGATCAAGGAGGAAGTGAATCAGAATTACTCTGAGGTACCACATCACACCTATCAGATTGGACAATATGACAAAACAGGAAAATGATAAGTGTTGGAGAAGATATGGGGAAATGGGAACACTAATGCATTATCAGTGGAGTTGTGAAATGATCCAACCATTTTGGAGAGCAATTTGGAACTATGCCCAAAGGGCTATAAAAATGTGCATACTCTTTGACCCAGCAATAGCACTACTAGGGCTATATCCCAAAGAGATCATACAAATGGGAAAAGGACTCACATGCACAAAAAATATTTATAACAGCTCTTTTTGTGGTGGCAAAGAATTGGAAATTGAGGGGATGCATCAATTGGGGAATGGATGAACAAGTTGTGGTATATGAATGTACTGAAATACTGTTGTGCTATAAGAAATGATGAACAGGCTGATTTTAGAAAAACCTGGAAAGTCTTGTATGCATTGATGCTGAGTGAAGTGAGCAGAACCAGAAGAATGCTGTGCATGGTAACAGCCTTGTTGTACGATGACTAATATTGATAGACTTAGCCCTTCTCAGCAATGCAAGGATCTGAGAGTTATGAAAAATGCTTTCCACATCCAAAGAAAGAACTATGGAGTTTGAATGCAGATCGAACCATACTATTTACTCTTTATTTTCCTTCTGTTGTGTTTTGTTTCCTCTTTCTGATGGTTTCTCCTATTGGTTCTAATTCTTCCTTACAACATCACTAATGTGAAAATCTGCCTAATAAGAATGTATATGTATAACCTATATTAAATTTTGAGCTGTGTTGGGGAGAAGGAGAGAGGGAGAAGGAGAAAAACTTAAAACTCGAAAGCTTATGAAAGTGATTGTTGATAAATCAAAATAAATTAATTTTAAAAAAAAGGATGAAGTGGTTACAAGTAAAACAAACTTCCTAATCTTAAAGTGGGAATTAAAAGGAAAGAAAAAGACCTAGAAACTAAGGAGAAGCAGCCATCCATTGGAGAATGACTGAATGTACTGTATTACATGAATGTAGTGAAATATTACTGAACCATAAGACATAACAAAAAAGGATGATTTCAGAGCATCCTGAAAAGGATGAAACTAATGCATAGCAAGGTGAGCAGAACAAGTAGAATGATTATGTAAGAAAACAAAACTGTTGAGGAAAATAACCTTAAAAAAAACATAAGAAATTGATAAAGCAATAACCAACTGTATCTCCAGAGGGCTTTTGAAACATGTTACCCAACTCCTGACAGAGAGGTGGTGGGTTTAAGCTCCAGAAAGAGATACATTTTTGGATATGGCCCCTGTGTGGATCTCTTTCTTTCTCTCTTCATGTTTAATTGGAAAAGAAGGGAGGTTAATAACAGTGAAGTAGTGAAACAAAAGGAGGAAGAAGAAGAAGAAGAAGAAGAAAAGCAATTGGAACAAATGGCAGGATATAGAGCTTCATAGATCTTTGTACCTCATTCATTTCTGCCATGTATATATTTTTTATTTTATTTTATTCATTCATTCATTTATTTTTCCTGTGTGAATTCAGAATACAATTTTACAGCTATGTGGAGAGGGGAGAGATCTGAGGCTATTAGATAGAATCAAAACTTTTGTATGCTTCAGTAAAGATGGTCTTTATAAGTTGCTGTCCTCAAAAGAAATTCATCACTTGGTCTATGCAATCAATATCTGGCTCGATTCTGTGTGTCTTCCAGGATCATTATTCTTCCCAGGCTGGCAGGACCTCCAGAGCTGCTCTCCCAGTCTTTGGAAACAAATGTTTCCCCTCTTAGCTCAGTAAAGTATCCAACTAAGACTTTAAGCACAAGTGTGATACCTAGAACTTCCTCTTCCTCTTTTTTTTTTAAAGAAAACAAATATAAGGACTAACAGGAGATTTATAGAAATTTTTATGTAAAAATAAGAATATAAAATATTTTAGATTCCATTTAAATTAGGAACGGATTGAGGTTAATTGTATTAATTATCAATTGGAAGAAAGATTTCTCTTTTAGATGGAATGTAAGCTTCTGAGCATGGAGGCATTGTTATATTTATTTTTGTCTTTGCATTTTCAGTCCTTTGCACAGTACCTGGTGCATGGTAGATATTCATTACATGTCTGTTGATTGATTCACTGATTTAGAAGGTTTAGAACAAAAAGTATGACTTAAGAACAAACAGAAAAAGAACCCCTCTATTTCTACTTAATTCTGAAGAAAAAATATCTTAGTTTAATTCTTGAGCAAGTTCAAATAGTTTGGCTTTTTTTAGGCAGTTGATAAGCATTTTAAAGCACTTGCTATGTGTTGGGTACTGTGCTAGGCAGTAAGGATACGAAGAAGGGCAAGAGAAAGTCCCTGACCTCAAGGAGCTCCCAGTCTGATGGGGAAAACAGCGTGCAAACTCCTATGTATAGACAAGTTATAGATAGGAGAGACTGGAGTTAATCTAGTCTGAACAAAGCAAGAGTCAGTACAGTTCTTTACTTTGTAGCAATTCAATTTGTCTTTGCCCCAGTGAGTTTCTGTAGAGTAAGCTCAGTTTAGTCTCACAATTAAACAAATGCTTAAATACATCACATTGAAGATATTGGATAGGCACAAGGATGAAACATTACCTAGTCCCTGGCTTTGATGAGTTTCAATTTTAATCTGTTATATTATTCCAGTTTTCCAGTGCATCTGTAATCTCATCAATGGAGAGTCTTCCCACCAACGCAGATTGTAATCTATTCACTGTTATCTGTCTAATGTAACTCTCTTGTGCTAACGAAGTTAAGATATAAGCAAACCCTTCATAATACTGACCTCTCCTTTTTTTTTTTAACAGACATGTGGTGACTATATTATAAATTTTTTAAAGAAAAATTTGGTGGTTGTTGCCGGAGTTGCATTTGGAGTGGCAGTGATTGAGGTGAGTGGAATGTACTTTTTATTTCCAGTTTTGTCTTTCAGATTTGATCAGTGAAGGCCAAGAAGAAGGCTACTTTATATGATTTCAGTATTAAAATCTAGGAATTAGCCTAGACTTCTCCCTTGTTTTTAATCTCAGTTGTCCTTTCCAAAGGGAAACAATTAAAAGTGAATCCAACTTTTATACATTTAGAGAAAAATAAACATTAGAATTTCTCATTTCCCTGATTGGGGAATAGAAAATGGAAATTGAACCAGTGCAAGGCTTAAGTCCCCCTACCCCCTAGTCCATTTCATTTTAGTCAAGGCAAATGAGTCTTAGAAATTAAGTAGAACATTGCAGCCCCATGCCCAACCCCCATCTTAAAGAGCATGAGTTTATTTTGATGAGCTTCTGAATATACTTTATGGATCAGCTGAGATTAATTAATCCCCCTCACTCATTTACTAATGTTAAATAAAAAGATACTGTACCTTGCTGGGGCTAGGGACTAGACCTGTTACTTCATTAGCATGGAGGGCTCCCAAGAGAGGAAACTTCTTCTACCAATACAGGTCAGCATCTTTTCTATACCACTGAGAGTTGATGTGACTGGCCAAAGGTCACAGATCTAGAATGTGTTAGTATTAGAGGTGGGATGTGTGCCTACCTCTTCCTGTCTTTGAAAACACTTCTATATCCCCTGTGTCACCCTGCATCCATACCTTTCTGAATGAGATTTTATTTTTATACATTTTCTTTTTGCGGTCTGCACATTCTTGGTAGTTTTTTTTTCATGTCTAAAAGAATAAAAGACGACTCAGAGGTATGTATTTTGCAATTTTTCCAAACCTTGGAAAATGGATATTTCATTTTTATATTCCTGCAAAGATGTAGATTCCCTTCCTCCTCCTCTGACCTCCTCTCCCTGCTCCCATTACAAATTAGGATCAGTGTTTCATGGCAGCCTATTCACATGCTTCCCGAATGTCAACTTATGAAATGCCATACAATTTTCTCCCCAGAGTTTTTGTGTCATGTTGACCTCCTATTGGAAACATAGCATAGATAGGGAGGAATTTTACTGGGTACCATAGATAGCCAAACCATTTAGAAAGGATGCCATTTAGGTGACTTTAGAAATGATGTCATTTCCCAGTCAAGTTTTTTGGGGAAAGGAAATGGCAATACACACTTAACTTGAGGGAAGGAACCCAAATAAATTCCAAGTTCGTTGAATTCTAAGGGGTAGAGCTAATTCTGACACTAAGTACCTCTGTGACCTTAGGCAAATCATTTAAACCTCTCTAGGCCTCAGTTTCCTCATCTGTAAAATGAAGGGTTGAATAGATGACCTGGTATTCCCAATCCATGAACTAAATGAAATATCACCTTGGTTTTCTCATCTTAGTCTTTTCTAAATTTGCCCTTGCCTCTGAAGTAAGAGCATTCTTCTTCTTCTTCTTCTTCTTCTTCTTCTTCTTCTTCTCTTGTGATTTCATCTTTGTAGGGAAACTCCTAGTGTAAAAAAAAATCCCTTTACTGGGATAGGTCAGTAACTACAGTATAATTTGTAGTCTTCAAGATTTTCCTAGGTCATTAAATCAGTCAGGTTCTTGCCATCACATTGCTACTATTTGTTAGAACCAGGGCTCACACCCACGTTTTTCTAACTCCAGTGCCATCCACAGCATCATCATTGCCTCTCTCCTAGCTATGTGGAAATAGAAGCTATTGGTTACAGAGACTAGGAGACAGCTAGAAGACCTGGGCTCCAGGTTCACAGTTGTGCTTTTGGCAGATCTCCACCTCAGAGACTTCACTCTTTCTACAGCAATCCTTAAATCAAAGGGGCAGCACATAAGGCACAGTACATGAGAGCCATGAGCACACAGGATATTTTCTTAGTTGCCCTAAGGACAGGAGCAGTACAGGGAAATGCCTTTTAAACAGAGATCAGGTTATTCAAGAAGGATGGGGAGGGAGAAGGAAGGCACTTTATAGCAGCTCCACAATGGAAATGAGGTGTGACCATGTTCTGAGACGCGCCACATAAATAAAATGGGAGGTTAGGTCTTTCTAGTAGTCACTCAAGATGGTTGTGTGTAGAGTAAAAATAAAAATGACCCATATGAAAAACCTATAATTTGCTCAATTCATTAAACTGAATCTGTTTTTCAGCTATTAATCAAGGTGACTTTATTTTATATTCCCTCAGGTGTCTTTCTTGGCTGTATTTGACTCCCTGTTTTAGGGCAGCCTTGGAAAAAGTTTCTGCCATTCTCCTTGTGAAAATTTGGCTCATAAAATGAGTATTGGTTTTTCACACACTTGCTAAGGCTGCCTTCCTATTGCTTAGCCCATCCTTAGCTTTTCTTACTGTTCCCAAAATAAGTCATTCAAGAAAATATTTATTTCTATTTAGAGCAAATAAATGTACTTAGGTTAAGGTCATCTAGTCCAACCCTTCATTTTACAGATAAGGAAACTGAGACCCAGAGAGGTTAAATGTTTTGCCTAAGGTCACATAGCTACTTAGTATCAGAGTTAGGATTTAAATTCTGATCATCTCCTTCATTTATTTATTTGTTTATTTTTTGGTGAGGCAGCTGGGATTAAGTGACTCGCTTAGGGTCACACAGCTAGTAAGCATTATATGTCTGAGGCCAGATTTGGACTCAGGTCCTCCTGACTTCAGGGAGGTGCTCTATTCACTGTGCCATCTAGCTGCTCCCTGATCATCTCATTTAAAGCCAGTCTTACATGGTCTTCAAAGAATCCCACCAATTCAAAGGAATTAGAAAAGACAAGTGATATTTTGGTTTGTTTAGATTAGATATAATTTACATCAGATTCTTAATTTTATTGTGTTCGTTAACTACTAAATAGACCCCTCTAGTAGTATGATGAAGTTTATGGATCCCTTCCCAGAAAAATGTTTTTAAATGCATAAAATAAATTATAGAATTATAAAGGAAAGTAATCATTGAAATAGTTTTTTATATATTATGTATGCAGTGTGTACACACACACACACACACACACACACACACACACACACACGCACACACACATTTTAAAACTAAGCTCACAGACCTCAGATGGAGACCATTGTTTAACCCTCAGTCTTGATCCTGAAAGATGTCTCCTAGAGTCAGTAAAACATATATTAAATTCCTACCTCTGACATACTAGGCATGTGACTATGGACAAAGTGTTCAGGGTCCCATAAAATTCTCTTCAAGTTACAGACTAGCTTTTGATCTGCATTGGTGGAGAGAATTTAAAAGCTTTCATTATGATCACAAGGTGAAGCTAGAAGAGATCTTGGAAATTACCTTATTCAACTCCCTTACTATACAGATGAGCAACTGAGGTCTAGAGAACATTAAGTAACTCACCGGATCTGATACCTAGTACCACATTGTTTCCACCCTGATAAAGTCACAGATCTCAAAGAAAAAACAAAAACAGAACAAAATCATATTGGCGCCAGCAAATTAGGCCTTGATTTGTTTTGATGTTTGTTAGGGTTAGAGACCACATGGATGACCTATCTCTTGAATTTGCCCCCTTGAGTAAATATTTAAGATTAATTAAAATTTTATATATATATAATATATGTATGTGTGTATATATATATATATATATATATATATATTATATATATTTAACTTCCATATCTTATTTTCCCCAGTTACATGTTAAAACAATTTCTATCAAATTCCCTCTCTTCCTACCTCCACACCCCCCTCCCTGAGACATTAAGCAATCGGACATAGATTATACATATGCAATCATGTAAAACATTCGCATACTAAACTGCTATATTTTCAAAGGAAGTTCCCCTTCCAAAGAAATTTGCAGAGCCTTTGTCAGAATCTGAACTAAAAACAATCAGACTATTAGGTCTCCTCAATGGATCACTGCAGCCAATGAGCATGGCAGTTTGAAAGAGCAAGCCTCAACGCTCAGAAGACCCCAGTCTAAGTTCTGCTTTGACACGTAGTGGTTGTATCACTCAGTGCTCTAGGCCAGTCTCTAAAACCCTAGATTGCTGAGGTGATGATCTGCATTATTAGAGGAAGTTTCCCCACCCAGGAATTTCTTATACCATTGAAATCACAGATCCGATCTCTAACCCATGAGTATTCAACTTGTCTGACAAAGGGCTACTGACCCTGTCAGTCAACACATCTAGAGAAAGGTGGCCCTAAGAAAGGCTAGCGTGGTTATTACTCCCAGGAGTCCAGCAATCATGGAGAAATGGTCACTTTGGACACTTGTTCCAGAAAATGCTCTGAAAAGAGTGGACTTTTCTTGTAGAGAAGGGCATGACATTTTTGCTAATTTATCATGAATATGAATGGCTTCTCTTAATTGTTTGCTCATTCACCAAACAATGACAGATTGTCTTTCTTCTGACAGCATAATATGTTGTTTGTTCAGCTAATGAATGCTCAGCTTTTGTTTCATGAATGGAGCAGTGGATTTTTGTCATCTTGCCTTTACCTATCATTTTGTTTATTTACATTATTCTTTTTATGAATATTCTTACTTCCCCCTCCTTTCTTCCCTGCTCTCCAAAGGCAAAGTAAAAATTTCTCAGAACCACTTTTTCTAAAATTCAAACTAAAAATCCTATTTTGATGATGAAAAGTCATTTTTTTTGTTTGTTTTTGGTGAGGCAATAGGGGTTAAGTGACTTGCCTAGGGTCACACAGCTAGTAAATGTCAAGTGTCTAAGGCCAGGTTTGAACTCAGGTCTTCCTGACTCCAAAGCCAGTGCCACCTAGCTGTCCTTTCAAAAGTCATTTTTTAAAGAGAAAAGTAGATACTGGTAATCCTTTCTGATCCCCACCACTTAGAATCCCAAGTTTCTTTCAGTCAATTCAAATATTACCTTCTACATCTATATGAAGGTTTTTCTATTTGTTTTTAAATTCTGCCTTGCCTTCCTGACACTGATGAGATGCTTATTATTATATGCTTACTATTATTGATGTTGTCTCTTGGAAGATGTGATTTCTTTTGTTATTCCAAATATACATCAAAGGATTCCATATCAACTAATGAATAGTCCTCAGGCTTCTGACCAGTTACTCTCTTTATTATTTGTTGCTAAGCTAAAGTTTGAAACTTCAGACAATAACTTTTCAGTCCTAATATTAAAACTTATTAAAGTTAATATCTTTGTCATTTTGCTGTTTTCAGATTTTTAAAAGATGCTTTATGATTATGTAAAATATTCAATTATATGTTCTTGATTAGAAAAAAAGGATATAAAGATAGAATTTTTTTTTTTAGATTTGGCAGTTGAGATCATTGTTAAATTTGGAGAGATGAGTTTTAATTCAATGGTATAATAGGTACTCAACTGATTGATTCATCCATGGACAGAAATTCTAATTCAGTTGACTAGATCACTGACAGCTTAAATGACTTGTCCATGGTCACACAGCTAGTATGTGTCAGAGTCAGGATTTGAATTTTGATTATAAGTCCAGTGATTTTTCTTTTTTTCTTTTTTTTTCTTTTATTTTCAGTCATTTTTCCACTACACTATGTTGTTTTCTCATGACTGAAGCCTATTTTGCAGAAGAGGCCATCTCTTGGTTTGGTCTTGCTTTTTCTTACGTTGTAGAATCCTTGTTTAAACAGATTGCCTAAACCTAAGGTCTCCAAGTTCTTTGTGGCTACTTTTATGTTCTCTAAGTCTTTGAATTAGGAAGCATAGAGGTCTGGAGATGATGCTGAGAGTGGATTTCCTTGAGGAAGGTGTTGATCTGGTATCTGTAGTAGTAAGTAGATTCTGTGACCCTGAGGCTATAAACTTGGAAAACTGAATTTGGAATCATTTGACCCATGGTTTGGACTCTAGTCTATCATATACCTGTAACTTGTGTTACTTTGCACAAACCACTTAACCTCTCTTGGCTTCAGATTTCTCATCTGAAAAAAGAGAGTTGTATGGGATGACTTTTGAAGTCTTTTCCAGTTCTGAATCTATAATCCTATGATATTACAATGCCAGTATGTCCACCTTCCATTCTGGAAATAAAAGAAGGAGGAGGTGGGAGAGCAGATAGTGATGTAATAGTGGTTGCCACTCCTATAGGCACCTTAATGGAATTCACAATTAACTGATTGAAGACGTTTGTTCTAAAGAGATAAACATCAGTCCATGTTATCAATGCTATTTTGTTCCATCTAAGTATCCAGGCACTGAAGAAGAAAGTTGCCAATGTTCCAAATGGTTTGAGTGAGATAGTCATGAATGGCCTACTACAGCCATTTTTTGAATATTTGAAAGACTGCCACCTGGAAGAGAGACTAGATTTGTTCTTTTGAACCTTTGGGGAAAGAACTAGGAATAATAAATAGAAGTTATGAAGAGTAAATTTAGGCTGGATAGCTTAAAAAACTCAATTGGAGCCATCCGGAAGTGGAATGGACTGTCTCAGGTTATGGTGGGTTCCCCTGCTGTCATGGTTAAGGGAAGAGGGGTCTTTTTGAAGAGGTTAGATGAACAGTTGGCTCTTATGTTGTAGTGGGGATTCTCTTTTCAGATACATGTCCGACTGGACAGATAGATAATAGATATGGATATGGATATAAATATGGATATGGATAAATAGCTGAAAAATAGATATAGTTGAAAGATGTTAGTGATGATCAATAAATGAGTGGATAGATAAAATATTTATTACATGCTTACCTATTTTCTAGGCTTTGAGCTAAGGGCTATGGATAATCATGCATATGGATAAGCATGATTGTACCTGGCCTTAAAGGACTGTATTCCGAATAAGAGAACTTGGAAAGTGGTAGGGGTTGGGGTAAATCTGAAGATAGTGGTATGATGTTGAGATGGCAAGATATGGGGAAAGCTGACTCATCAGAGGGCTAGGTAGTACCTTATTGATTCTGTAAAAATGATCTCTTGGAACCAGTGATTTTTTTTCCCCCTCAAAACCCACACATAATAGTATGCTTTTTCTTTTTCTAGATGCTCGGATTGGTGTTTTCCATGGTCTTATACTGCCAGATTGGGAAAAAATGAAACTACAGGAGTTAAGCTGTTACCCACAAAATTTGCCTTTTAACAAAACTTGCTTTGCTCTTTAAAAAAAATTACAACTTTGTCAAGAAGTATTTAGTTTATTAAAATACTACATTTTGATGAAAGCATGGGTAATTTCATTACGTATCAGAAGTCTTTGAGTTAAGTGACATAATGATATGAGTGTATATTTTTATTTGGAATAAAAACACATTTTTGTTTTAATTGACTTATTTCCTTTGATCATTGTGTTCAAGTGGTAATATATTTTAAACGTTCATTCAGAGCTATTTGGTAGAACAATGTTGATCTCCAAGTGACAGAACAATTATTTGAAATTATAAATCTGAACTTTTCTGAAATTATTTGATTTTTGTCTTTTTTGTGGTTTGGAATATAATCAGTGTAAAGCAGTTGGATTAACTTTGTAGCTGAAATCTAGTATAGGCTTCTCATCTTACAGTGGGGATAACTGATGGTCAGAAACATAAAATGATTTACTCAGGGTAACACAATTACGTGACAGGTTTAGTACTCAAAACCTGATTTCTTGAATCTCCAGTTAATAGGATTATAGAATTAGGTCTAATCTACCCTTTACCCTCATTTTACAGATAAACTGAAATTCAGAGAGCCTAAGTTACGGGCTCATAGCTACACACATGGCTAGTGTCCAATGGGAACCCCTGATTCTTAACTCAGTCAAAATATGCAGATCTTCCAGACAGTTGTGTTCCACGGCCTGCCTGTATATGACTGCCCTATCCCACTGCCTACCTCTTCTCCAGTGCCTGTTTCTGTTCTTAATCTAGTAGCTCTCCTGCCATACCATCTTGAATCATTTCAGAGATCATAAATTTAGAACTTGAACGGACAACAGAAGTCACCTAATCCAACCTCATCTTTGTTACTTATGAGAAAACTGATTCCTAAGAAGATTGTGACTTGTCTAAGATTACTTGGATAATAAGCACTGGAGGCAAGATTTGAACCCAGGCCCTCTGACTCCACCTACAAGACTCTTTCTGCTGTTTCATGCTTTAATAGAGCATAAGGAAGTAGAAACAGCCTATATTGCAATGACTGGCTTTTTGACAAATGTTTGTTGGTAAATAAATCAGTATAGTGATCCATTGGAAAGTATGAGGTTCATTGGAAAGACCTGGATTTTTAAACCTGTCTCAGATATTTACCAGATGTATGACCCTTGGCAGGTCACTTAGCATCTTTTAACCTCAGTCTTCTCAGATGTGAAATGGAAGTAACTAGTACTTACCTTATGGGGGGGTTGGCATCATGGAATGTGTGTGGGGTATACATAGGACAATAATTGGTTGGAAATCAAGTGGAAATTCAGAATTTTCTTCACAAAGTGTATCGATTATTTCTAGCTAAGGGAATCACTCTGACTCAATGTCATACATCATGGAGCTTCAGAAGTTTTAGAGAACTTGAAGAGTACAAATCACAGAGCATATAAAGCCACCTTCTGGTATTGACAACTTATAATTCCAGTGCTTTTTGAAGTTTCTGCATAGAGAACATCAGAATCAAAAGAGGCCTTTAGTTTTTTATAAAGACATGGATCAGCTATGATGAAATCATTGAAATGTCAGCCTAAGAAACTAAATCAGGGAGACTTAAAACAACAACAACAGCAACAAATTAGGTTTCCTGGGTCAATGTGGCAATGTTTATCTAAAATAATTTTTGTTTTGCCAAGGATCTTTTGGAATTTGGGCTAAATAAGTCTATGAATCCTTTCCTATAAATGCATAAAGTATAGGATTATTAAGAAAACTGCATAATTAAGAAAATATTTAAAAAGTTCATAATTGGAGGTTAAGAACCCTTGACCTAAGAGAAGGATCTCTATTAAGATTAAGATCTTTTGATTGGATAATTTTTTAAAAAAATTTTTATTGAATTTTTATTGTGATTGATAAAATTAAATGTGTGGATAGCCAAGTAGACACCCACCTAGATGGAGATTGGCTAAACAAATTGTGACACATAAATGTGATGAAATAATACTATAATATATGAAACAATGTGAAGAATACAGAGATGTATTAAAGATTTATGTATCTATGCTAGGTAAAGTAAGTAGGATCAGGAAATCAATATACACATTACAAAAAATAAATGGAAAGAAGAGGAAAAAATGAAAGTGAACACCTGAGCACTGGAACTAAGCTTGGCCCCAAAGAGATGAGAAAATGCACCTTCCTACCTCCTTTGAAAAGGATGTGTGTGTGTGTGTGTGTGTGTGTGTGTGTGTGTGTGTGTGTGTGTGTGTGTTGGGGGAAGGCGGAGTTTGGTACTATGAGTGAGCTGTTGGATTCACTGTGATAGCGGATTGGTTAGTCTTACTGAAGTACTCTCAAGAAATTCCACATTGCATGTACTCCTGTAGCCAGCTTTTGGGAGGACGTGACTGAAGATCAACAGAGATGGGCTCATATGGATAGGTGATAAACTTCACAATTGGACGGATGAGATCACAGACCCATCTGAGTATTTGTTCTGGTTCTTAGTTACACAGAATGCTTTCTGGGTAAAGAAGTGGGGAAGGATGTATTTGAAAGTGAAGAGTACAAAAAAAAATCAGCATTTTTTTTTTAAGTAGGAGATAAGCCATCCCTTCACCTTCCAGGCCTAGAATTCCTGAAACGGAATTTGATGTTAAATCTACCACATAAATCATTGTTTTCCACAGTGAATGGATCCAAAGTTCCATCTAGCTGTCAAGTGTAATCAGTGGAACCAAGTAGACAGAATAAAGATAATGAGCCAAGAAATGCCCCATAAAATGGCAAAGAGGAACTACAAAGGAACACGAATATCCATTCCGGGGATGTTTGAAAAGTACAGGAACAAGAAGAGTAATTAGACAACCCTGGTCATTTTTGCCAGGCAAGGTGGGACCCAAATAAGTCATTTCTATTTAGTGCTACCTGAGGATCAGCCACAGCGAAGCCAAAAGGCACAGAAAAGTAAAATGAACATGACATTAGACCAGGCTCCAAATACCTCCACAGGAATTTTGTGACACTATTTCAAAGAATTCCAGCAAAGCCTTCTATGTTCCACAGGGATTAAATGTCTGGAAAACAGGTTTGAGTTCTTGGCAAAGTCTAAGCCTACAGTTTTCAGGAATCTTCTTAACAAAGCAACAAATTAATAAATGGAACCTGGAACTCTAAAAAGAAGAGATAACTTAAAAATGACAACATGATAATAAGCTTGTAGAGGACTTAGATGAGTCAAACAAAACCCAGCGAGTTCTTAGAATAAGAATCAATTTTACTTAATGGGACGGAGAGATGCAGCATTTACTCGATGAATGGGGAAAGAAAGGGTCTCATGGATTTGGGATTTAGAGACTTAATCTGTATTTTTGGTTTTGGAAGTCACTTCGTATGACATTGGCTAACCCTTTAAATCTTTACTTACATATCACTTTTCTTACTAATTGCCTTAGTGGTTTTCAAAGACTAATAATTTCTCAGACACTGAGAAAGAAGGTATGAAAGTTTTATTCTTGGAAGGTATCTAGCTACAAAAATTAAAAAAAAATCTCAACAGCAGCACATATACATCGAACACTCTAGCTGAACAGCATTCTTTATCTCATTTAATGTACCTTCATATGTAGACAACTCATTTTGCAGAATGTCTTTATGGTTAAATGTTAACACACATTTATACCTGGTTAAACACTATTGTTTTGTGATTTTGTTTTTGGAAAAAGGATTTGAGGTGGTGAGGGTAGGCTATTTAATTTTGGACTGGGCCTATGATTTCATCAGTATGCAAATATCCTGATAAAAATATCATTTCATTTACAATTTATATTCTTTGAGGATTGCCTGGGGTTCTGAAAGTTTTAAGTGACCTTCCAAGTGTCATACAGTCAATGAATGTCAGAGGGAGGGCTTCCTGATTATAAATAAGGCTGACTCTATTATATCATGCTGCTACATGGAAGTTTGATTATATACTGATAATGTGGCTGCTTTTGAGAATCACTACTTAAATTGCAATATTGAGTGCCTTCTTTGGGAAAAAATGATGCTAAAATAAGCCAACAACCCTAGATGCCAATGGATCTTTGAATACAAAGTAGATCTATTTTCTCATTTTCCCTTGTCATTTAAAGCCCTTCACCATCTGGCTCTGGCCTACCTTTCCTGATTTATTTTGCATTATTTCCTTTCCTGTCCTCCAGTTCATCAGCTCATCTGGCCAGTTTGGTGTTCTCTGGACACAACATTCTGACTCCTTCCTCCATGTTTGCATATACTGTCCCACATCCCTGGAATGAACTCCATCCTCACCTCTCTGTTTTAATATCCCTGCCTTCCTTTATGATTAGCTCTGGTGTTACCTCCTTCCTAAATACCACAGCTGATTCTGCCCTCTCCCTCTGTACGTTGCTTTGTATTTGCTAGAAGTGAGCATGTATGTATGCCCATAGTACATGTGTGAATATATACAAAGTATATGGATATAAAAGTAATCACATAATTTGAGAGTTTGAGAGAATCTTAGTGACTATCTAGATCTAGGCCAACCCATAAACAAAAGGAATCTCAGTGTAACATACTTGTCAGGTGTTTGTCTGGGTTCTGCTTAAAGACCTCCAAGGAGGGAGATCCTACCACCTACCTGGATATCAATCAATCAATCAATAAAGATTTATTAAAGTGCCAGGCATTGTGCTAAGCCTGGAGGATACAAAAAGAGACAAAAATAGCCTCTGTCTTCAAAGAACTTACAATCTAATGGGTGAGACAACATGAAACCAAATATAGACAAGCCATGTCCAGGAAAAATAAGAAATAATAGAGGGCACTAGAATAGAGAGAGGTCTGGGGAAGGCTTCTGCAGAAAGTGGGACTTTAGTGTTGTTTTAAAGGAAGCCAGGGAAGTTGGTAGGCAGAATTGAAGAGGGAGACTGTTCCAGGTGTGGGAGACACCAGAGGAAATGCCTAGAGTCGAGGGAAGGAAGGCCTTGTTCATGAAACAGCCAGGAAGTCAGAGTCAGTGCATGGAAGAGTCCACGGCAGGGAGTGCTGGGTACTATACCCACTACAGTAGAATAGGTTCTGCCTTAGTCTAGCTCTTATTGTTAGGAAGTTTTTCCTGACATTTAGCCTAATTTTGCCTCTTTTCAATTTCCCCCCATTGCTTCTGGCTTTGCTTTCTGCGGCCAAATGGTACAAA